TTCCTCAAAAAACAGCTGATGTGGCATCAGAGAAAAAAAAGGTGAGAATTACATCTGAGATGCCACAGACTGAGAGAATGCAAAAGGAGCTGAAAGATTCACTGTGCCTGTAAGCTTGGAAAGCAAGAAAGCTGCTCGGGCAGCCAGCTTTGGTATTTCCTCAGTTCCAACGAAAGCCTATGGTTAATCTGCATAAGCTAAAGGAAAGAGCACAAAGATTTGCTTTGAATGTCTCTTAATCTCTAGAAAGTCTGAAGATGATGAGAAGCTGAAAAAGAGGAAGGAACAATTTGGGATTGTCACAAGTTCAGCCAGAACTCAGAGGATACAGAGGCAAAGAAAAGGAAAAGAGCAGAGTGCTTTGAGATTCATGATGAAAAATTCTTTTTGCTCTCTCTTCTCTGGTGGTTTCCATTTCTGATCCTTCTTGGTCACACATACACCTAAGTGCACAGTCACGTGCCTGCATCCTGACTCACAGTGAGAGAGCATGAACCCCAGGTATATCCATGAACTCCAGCAGCAATTTCACCTACCGCTGGTTTAACTTCAAGGTTATTGTGGTTTTGTTTTTAATTATTTTATTTTGTTAATTAAGAAAATAAAAAAGAAAAAAATCCTGTTTTCCATTTCTTTGCCTAAATATTTTGCACAAAGTTTTCAGTCATTAAAATGATATATACTCTATGCAGTTTCACACATAATACAAGGTGTGTGAGATAATTCATGTAAGACCACACTTTTCCAAGGGAAATTAACTACATGTCTAAGAGTACATCTCTTTCCAGTCTTAATTAACCTCACCAGCATTAAAGTCCTATGTTCACTGTGGAGTAGGTCACAGATGACACTGATCAAATGTCCCCAAGTGCTTCCCTGTCTACTGGTGAAAGCAGAAAGACACCTGACCCAGGTTGTAGCAGGAATGAGCAAGCGACATTGGACCACAAGGGGGAGGCATCTGACATTAACTAGGAGATGAAATTCTATCCCCTGACCCCTAATTGAGTGACAAATTCAAGATAAACCTCACTCACCAGGTTGCAAGCTTTGGTTAACATTCCACATTTCCTCACCAAAGTCGTACTCAAGATCTAGTGAAATGCTTTAACAGGCCAAGGTGGATGCAGGATATGTTTTGAAATGTAAACCACATCATCTACAACCTTCATCAATGTGACATTTGCCAATCTGAAGGACATGGAAGGTAGATAGGGTAGGGTGTGTTTTTGGACAAGTCTATTTAATACATATTAAGCTGTCCTTTATTTCTTTCAAATTAAAAAAGTATCTATATCTATCTATCTATCTATCTATCTATCTATCTATCTATCTATCTATTTACTTGGTACAAGTTCTCACTATGCAGCTTGGACTCATAGTAATACCCCTGTCTCAGCCTACCCAGCTCTGGGATCACAAGCATGCACCATCACACCTAGTTTTGGTGGCCGGCACGGCACCTGCTGCGTGGTTCCTGGATTGAACCTGGGTCCTTGTGTTTGCCAAGAAAGCAATTAGACAGTTGAGCTATCTCCCCAGCCCATGTCTTTTAATTCTTATCTTTTCTCGATACCTGGATAGATGCAAAGGATGCATTCTAGTGAGTCGAAAGTATAGAATTATTAATCACCCCTTGCCAATGGCAAGCTATTGGTCTCCTTTGTTGGGCTGACTTCTCAGAATCGTGCAGAAGAAGGATTGTGGTGATCTGAAGGGCATTTGATTCTTGTCAGGCTGAAGTTTATCTTAGCCTTGTGTTTACTCAACATTATCTACAAACAAAGACAAGGTTGCCTTGGAGGTTACAGAAGTTCCATAATGTAATGCTCTCTTAATTGCTGATGCTGCATATTAATCAGAGGGAGAAGGTTTGGTGCACACAGGGACCAAGCCTACTTAGGTCTACCTAGTTTAGTATGCTGATCACAACTGACTTGCATAGTGGGCCAGTCAAAGCAAATTCTTTAATCCGCCCTGCACTGTGTGACAACCCAAGCATACAGTGACAGCTGCCAAGACAGAAGGCAGCATCCCACGCAGAGGGGCTTGGTGACTCTGGCTGGAGTCAGGGTTAGGGTGGGGAGATTAGCAGTCTGGATCCTGGGAAGCTGAACAAGGTACATTCTCACATCCTGGTCAGAAATGACAAGTACACATGTCCCAGCAGACTGTCGCGTGTCAGGAAACCACAGCAGGCCTAGTCTCTTCTTGTCTTAGAGACCCAGCCCAGATTTTGAAGGACAATCTAAAATAAATAATTGAAACTTGAGCCAGGTTTAGATTTAGCCAATATTTTAAAGTATATGTTCTTTCCAGGAAGATCTGCAGTTTGGGCCAGGGACGTGTGTCCAATATACCTCAGCTTAGACTACAATTGGATTTCTTTCTGAAAACCTAATGCTGAGGGCATAAGCATCACTGTAAACAATGTCACTAGGAGTCTCAGTGGGTTACAGGAAATCAATTATCCAACTATGGCGCAAAGAGAGATGCAGTCTAGCGACGTGGTATGATGCAAACTCCCTGATTTTGCTGCTCATTCTCTTCCCACACCCACCTCTGAAGTCAGGCTTTCCTCTCACCTCTTAATAAAAGCTTAGCAAATGATGGCTGGTGGGGAGAGGCGAAGGACTGCATGCAGATGCGGGAAATGCATTAAGCATCTTGAGTGGAAAGGATGCTGTCAAGAACCTGACAGCATGGTGACGATTTGTTTGGGTTGGAGTAACCAGTAAGTCAGCCATTTGTCTTTGAGTAATCACTGCTGTCAGCTTGTTAAACATTAAAAACAAATGCACTAGAGAAAAGCCATACCTCTTTTTCGATAATCTCTTTCTGGAAGCTTTTCATTGCCTGCAGCCATTGGTGGTCCTTGGAATGGTGCAACGTTGAAGGTAGCTCTGACCCAGGCTGTGAAGAAAGACCCTTTCTTAGGGTAGAGTGGGGACAGAGGAATTGAACTTCTGACCTGTGAGCCAGGTACTGCCCAGTGTGCTTTCCAGACAATTATTTTTCTGGTCACCAATGTGATAACTGAGAAAGCAATTTGCTTCCTGTAGCTGCTCTGGTTATTCTAGTCATAAAATCACTAAGGGACTACAGCGCCATTCAAAAGCTGCAAGCAGTTCGGTCAGATAATTAACTTCATAAGGCACTAGAAACAAGTTGAAGACACTCAGAAAAGCAGTCTAATGGAAAATTGCCTTGTCATTCCCACGATCTCCTGGACTTTCTTTCTCCATTTCTCCTGCTGCATGGCTTTGTAGATTTTCTTTTCATCAATTGAATTTTACATTCCATTTTTCTCCTAAGTTTGGGTTTCTTGTCTTGTATCCATTTGATAGATTTATATTTATTCTGATCTTCTAGAACATGGTTTCTCCTGTTGACTTGAAGCATTTCCAAGCCTCGGTATGAAAGAGCTTGGTTGCATAAAATGCTTGTGCACTCTAATTCTGTAAAACATCTCCTCATGGCACTGCACACAATTTCAAAAGTAGTTAAAACTAAAACTATGCTTTCAGAAGAATTTCTAAGAGTATTTCAACCACTTCAAGTTATTCTGCAGAGGTAAGGCTCTGTTTTTAAACGTACTCACTCTGGAAAATAGTTTTCTTTGATAGTGTGAATGGTTGCTTTTTAGGTTTGAGCTTCCTGACATGAACAATCTGGTGGCCCTCCTTTGTTGTGCTTGTCCTTGTGTCACGTTCTGCATCTATTTCCACATCTCATAAAAAACACAGCTGATCAACAGAGACAATATTTTTTTTACACATTTCAACATTTTTATCCCACACAAGAATACTCTGAATTTCAAACTGAAGTCTTAGATTTGGTTACGTAGCTTGCTTCTTCTTACCTCAAGGGAAGAATTTGTGACTGAAGAGTGGCTTCTGTTGACAGGAAGACTTTGCTCCAAGTCACGTTTGAGCAGGTCATCACGTCAGTGGTGCAAGACTTGGAGACAGCTGCCCAGGGCCTCCTTCTGGAATTTCATTGAATATACACTTCCTGAAAGCTGTTTTGTTTTGCTGATATGACTTTCAACTGAAATGTCACTTTTAAAAAACCAGTTTCTGTGATCAATTAGTTATCAAGTTCAACCCACTGATCCAAGAGCGACTTTCTAGGCAATCTAAGATGAACACCTTCACTCTGAGCCAAGGTTAGGCCAAGGAAAAAGCAGACCAAGAAAATAAAAACAGATCTCAAAGCTGAATCTGGGACATCTTATGAAATCAACCAATAATCATCTTGGGGTCCCACATTTGGGAGTATTTACAGATTCTAAAATATCTATGACTGTGCTATCTTTGCTGAACTGAAAGACTTATAAAAGTTGATGTGAGAAGATAAGAAAAAATAATTCTTTGCACATTTTCAGTGAAATATGTCTGATTTTTAAAAATGTCAGTTAGATGTTCTAACTAACCCATCATAGAATTATAAAATCCTGTTATCTTAATAAACATAAAATCCTGTTATGCAAAGGATTTTAAAAATTTAATCCTGTATATTCGACACTGTGGACTACAATGATCCAAATGGAAAATAAGATATATGGTCAGTTTTAGAACAAATGCACACTGTAAGATTCTAACAACAAACTTCAGGACTACGGTGGATGCTTCCGACTGAATTCAGATCACTGGTGGTTAATAGTTCCTCTTACAGAAATTCATGCCAGGTAAATAGCAATCATGACCATCAACTAAAGAATTTCAAGACATTCAAAAAGGTCACAATCCCTGGGGCAGGTAAACTCCCACACATCATTAGAGGATCCGATCTAATAGCTCATCATGCTCAGAAGAATGCAGAGTTAGAAGAGTGGTTGAGAGAGGACATGGAGGCACAAAAGCAAAAGAAGGGTCTCTTGTTGATGATCTGCTTAGGTGTGACCATAAGGTATGAAGGTCATCAAGAACTTTATTTATTTATTTATTTTATAATTTAACTTCTGTTTTTAAGAAAAAAAATAATTTATGCTGCAAATCCAAGTCAATGGCATCATGTCCACTCTACCAAGTCAAAAAGTTAAAAGCATTACACATTTTTATTAAATAACTTTTATAATAGTTACTTGTAAATCCAGTTAGAAAATAACTTCCTCTCTGCTTACAAATGTTATAATAAAAATAACGCAGGAATGTGCAAATCATCTATTAACTTCCTGAAACATGACCAACTCCTAAGTCCATATCCAAAATGTAAATGCAAGATAACTCAAAGAATAGAATTCTTTCATGGCTTCAAATTATCTCCCCAACTCTTAGGCCCTCAAACATACCCTTATCTCCACCTAAGTTCTTGGTTAACTCGTACAGTCATCTGTGGAGAGCAGTTGTATCCCTTCAACTGGCAAGTTCAATGAAGGCAACAGGCACCTCATTTTCCACCCTCTAGAATTTAACATTTTGCATATACAGTACATTCTTCTTTTATGGAACAGGGACATCCCTTCCAATGAAAGTTATTACTTCCTCCTCTTTCCTCCTTGGCGCTGCCCTCCTTTCCTCTTGCTACCCAAACCAGGCGGCCGGGATTGTGTCCTGCCTCCCAAACCTCCTTTTCTCTTCCCTCCCTGGCTGGGCGGGCCACCTTTCCTCTTGCCCCCAGCACCCTGTCGGCCTCCTTTTCTCTTGCCCTTTGGGCCCATTTTCTTCCTCTTAGCGGCCTCTTCTTGGTCCTCCTCTCTCATCTGCTTGTTGGTGGCCCTCGTCACATCTAGCTTAGGCCTCTTGCTGTTCATGATGCGAAGTAGCTCCAACTGGTTCTTTTTCTCAGCTGCAAAGTCCCCGAAAAGGGGCTGGAACTTCCTCTTTTTGCCCGAGCCCCGGGGCGCCTTCTCCTTGGGCAGGCGCTCCTGGAAGCGCCCCACGGAGGCGGTGGAGACCTTCGCTACCTGCATGGCGCGGCCCAGCTCCTCCTTACTCTGGTGTCCGGTCGGGTGCATGCCGGCCGCGGGGG